CTTCGTGAAGCACAGAAACCCACCCTGTTTTGGCTGGGGACCCTGGTACCTTTCAGGCGCAATTCTTCTCGTGGTTGTACCTTCTGATGGCCCAGACACACAGCTGCTATGTGGCCTTGCTTCCCACATGCTCTACAGATTGCAGAACGGAACCTGCAGTCGGTCCTCTTGTGGCGACCTCCATACCCGAAGCACTTGGGTACAGCTGAAGACTTTTCTTTGCCTTCCTTCTGCTTCCTTTCTTTGTCTGGGTAGCGATGATCCACCTCTTCTTCAGGATTCTCTTCCGAGCTCTCCTGGACTCCCTCATGGTGCACGGAAACAGCTTCTGGAGTACTTCTGATAGGCCTCATATTCTTGATTGCCCCACCTGCTGCCTCTTCTGCAGTAACCTTTCTCACGGCATCTTGGAACGATATGTCTTATTTAGCAAAAAGTCTCTGCTGCAAGTCTCTGTTTCTAAGCCCACATACAAATCTGTCTCTCAGCCTTTCTTCTAAGTCTTTAAACTCACAAGGCTTAGCTGCTCTTCTCAAAGCTGCAATGTATTCTTTAGCTGATTCACCAGCCAGTTGATCCCTCTGTTCAAAAGTATGTCTCCATGCAATAACAGACAACTTGGGCTGAAAATGTTCTTTTAGTATTTTTTTTAAATCTGTGTAAGTGACAGATTCAAGAGGCGCAGGGGCTGCTAAGATTTCAGCAATTTCAAATGCATCTTGACCACAAACACACAGCAAGGTAGTGGCCTTTAAGCCATCTTCTCTTACTTGGTTTACTTTCAAGTAGTTTTATACTCTGGCCACATATGACTCCCATCTTTCTGGGTGCGTGACATCAAATTCAGAGAGCCTTCCTATCTTCGCCATTTTTCTTTGTAAGGAAAGGGTCTATCAGCCAGTTTACCTCCAACGACACTGTATTGGCAGGCAGGTGCTGAATTTAACGCCGTCTTCCTAGTTGCTCTCAGGACTCCTGGGTAAGCTTACAATTCTTTTAATTGATTGTAAGGCATCCCACCTTCGTCGCCAGTGTTGAGTCCTCAGCTTAATGGCGAATAATCACAGAGCATCTCATAGTGTCAAGAAGCCTTTATTGTTGTTTCTTCAGCTCCATTACAGCTCTGAGGCACGCAGGCCTCTCTGCCTCTCTTAAGAACACTTCCCCGGACCAAATAGCAACATTTGGCGCGCTCCGCGCCTCGCGCATGCACGCGAAGCCGGCGCCAGCCTGTCTGGTCCCGGGCAGCTTGCAACTGCCCGGGACCGTTGCAACGTCCCGAGCCTGCCTTTGCTGGCTCAGGACACAACAGTAATCTTCTATTATTTACATTTCCCCCCTTATTTTTCTTTAAGAATATTTGTCCTTATTGCCCCGTTGTTTTTTATTTACATTTTTCTTCCTTCATATTCTACTTCTTACTAAGAATAATTCATATTATTATTATTATACACATATTTTCACTTTTGACCTTTCCATATTTATTCTCCTCTATTATTTCTAGTCTCTAGCCAGTCATACCACTTGTTCCATGTTATATAGTACTCTGTGTCTTCCTTTTCTTTTATCTCTTTTGTTAATTTGTCCATCTCAGCACAGTCCAGGATTTTTCTTATCTTAAGTGTTCTTTCTAGGGCCTTGCCTTACATAAAGTTCAATCTAGATTCTTGCTGTCTTCCCACATTTCTGAACAAAGTATTCAAACTTGTTAAAAAGAGACAAGCCATTGCTGGTAGCTGTAGATTCTGCTGTTGTCATGAGATAGTGTGATAGGAAGGACAATTTAAAAAATGAAGACCAACTCTCCAGTGACAACTTGGTTGGAAGTCTCATTTTATCTCACCTGAAAAAAGAAGCTTTAAAAACAACTCACAAAATATACAAGTATAATCCTTCTACCTCATTCTGTTCAAAATATCAGAATAGTTCAGGTATCCAATAATCATTGGTGTCCTTTAATTGAAAGCAGAAGTTCAGATTTTTTTTTTAAAAAAAGGAAAAGAGGATTAAAATCAAAAGTGACAGATTTGTCTAAACAGTTAGGAAAAAGTAAAATAGGCAGATTTAACAGTCTAGAATAGATAAGTGGATTTGCATACTTAAGCTTTTAAACATACATATACTCTACCCTCACAAACACAAACACACACACATACACACACACACAGCACCCACCCACAATCCTTAAATATATTTGTGATGCTCAGTTAGAGTTGACGTCTCGTTCTACTTCTCCCCCAGTTATATATGGGCCATCTATATTGGTCGTCCCCAAATTCTCTAGGAAAATTGCCTCAGCCGAGGAATTTTTAAAAAATGCCAACATCTACAATTTTCTCCAAAAAGGGATGGAAGGAACATTAATAAGGAAATGCTTTCAGTTATCTAGCTACCCATTTGTTCAAGCTGTGGTTGGTAAATTATAATTTGCCAGGTGATATCTAGATGCTCAGGTGCTTAAATCCAATTTCCATGTAGAGCAGGCAGTTTGTAGTATAAGAATGTACATGCCTCTTGCTTCTTAATATCTATGTTTAGTATGTCCTGGTGAATGTTGCATAAATCTTTGCTATTGAATAAAAAGCTGAATCTTCAGCATTGATGGGGTGATGCAATCTGGTTTCAGCTTGCTTGCTAATGGGTCTGCTGGTTGCAGAATAGAAAGAAATAACCTGCAGGTGTTGGCATCTTGGTTTTACTATAGCAAGACAGAGAGATAGTTGCTATGTCTTCTATATTCTTTCTGGTTCTATAGCTTTTAAATATCAAAGATCTCATTTCATTTAACTGATAGGAAGGAAAATGAAAGCAATGTTATAGAGATTTCTGGAGAGATTGCAAGTGGAAAATAACTTAGGAAGAAATATTCAAAGAAGCTAATTTTAAATCTAATTTTAAAACTAAGGGGTGTTGTATCCTTTTCCATGCACAGGATAAATGGCATATTATAAAAAAGGGACCTTGCATATTTTTAAATGTGTCATGTTCCTTATTAAAATATAATACTTCGTTTGATTGTTTTAACTAGAACTAATAATAATAATAATAATAATAATAATAATAATAATAATAATAAAGTTGGAAGGGACCTTGGAGGTCATCAAGTCCAATCCCCCCACTCAGGCAGGAAACCCTATACCATTTCGGACAAATGGCTGTCCAGTCTCTTCTTAAAAACTTCTAGTGTTGGAGCATTCACCGCTTTGTTGCTCTTCTCTGTACTCTTTCTAGAGTCTCAACATCTTTTTTACATCATGGTGACGGAAATTGGATGTAGTATCCAAGTGTGGCATTACCAAGGCATTGTAAAGTGGTATTAAAACTTCACGTGATCTTGATTCTATCCCTCTGTTAATGCAGCCTAGCACCGTGCTGGCTTTTTTGGAGCTGCAGCACACTGCTGGCTCATATTTAAATGATTGTCCACTAGGACTCCGAGATCCCTCTCACAGTTGCTACTATTGAGCAAGGTACCACCTATACTATACCTTCAACTCCAAACAACCTTTCCTCTAAGTAGCAACCCTTATAGTCCAAAATATCAAGAAGGCAACAGAATGCTCACTTGTATATATATAGAGAGAGTATAGTATAGCTATATATACCACTTCATGAACATATTGTTCTGAGAGTTTAATTTTATGTAACCCTGCCTTTTACTTTCAGTGTTTGTTCTTTCTCTTTCTCTCTCTTCTCTCTCCTCTGAATAATTACTCTCAATGATTTTCATTTTCAACTTTATAAATGTCTCATTACTCCTTCTCCCACCTTTGGGGGATCAAAGACAGATTTAGGAATCTGAAACAATTGGTATTAATTGTTATGGAGATGGCTCTCTGTAAACCCTTGCCTCCTATTGTACAGAGAAAAAAATTATCAACCTGTGGTACGACAAAACAGCTGTTTCTCAAAAAGGTCTGTCATCTCCCTCACTCTCAGAAAACAAATTGGCTTTTTTATTGAACAAATGAAGTTATTTAAATACCTGGGCTTTTCCTTTCAACTCCCCGGAGTCTGGAAAATAACAACCATGGGCTACTTTTGTACAGGTCCACAGATTTTCTAATGTTACGTTGCATTACATCTACTCTAAGGGTAGCAATTATGTGCCCTCAACAATAATAACAATTTTCAGAGCGAATGTTATTAGCTTTGTTACATAGCACATGAGTTAGCAATCAATGTAATCCAAGCCTTCAAAAGAAAGAAAGAAAAATTCACTCGGCATTTTTAAGAATCTTGGTGTTCACACCCAGGTCTGTTTTCAACTCTTGATGAGATCTGACAATTGGGCTAATCTCTATAGAAGGTGTCATGTGGCTCTGATGCCTGGCTCAAATTCTGGTTTCAGTTAGTCTTCATCAACAGCTCCCTAGTTTCCTAAGCTTACCTAACATATGGAAGAAAGGCATAGATTTGAACTTAACGTTTTATGTCATACTGGCTCAATGTTTGACCTCAGTCAGTCTTGAGAGGGCCTTGCTGAATTAACCAACAGGTTGTTATTAGTAAGTTTGTTTTTACCATGGTTATAAATCATATATGCATTGCTTTTTTATTTCTATACTATTTTAATTATTGTTAGTTGCCCAAAGTCATGAACCTGACGTAGAAATCCATGTAAATTGAAATGATGATGATAATAAGATAGATAGATAGATAGATGGTAGGTATGGATTTCAGGACTTACAATGTTTTTTTCCAATGCTTCTGCTATCTCCTTAAATATAGATTATGATATTTTGGATTAAAATATTTTTATTAATTATTCATTCTATGATAAATCAAACATGTGAAATAGGAACCCCCTCCATTAAGAACTAAATTTTCAAAAGCTGGCAAAACTATTCAGACTTTGAGACTGTATGTTTCAGATTTCAACTCTATCTTGCGATGTTGAGGGATACTTGAAAATTCTAGTCTATGCTCTTTTTACGGTAATGTTTATGCATCTTTTCAAATTCCTTTTGTTGCCCACTAATTTATATTATATGTTTCAGTACAGAGGAGAACCACCCATGACATGGAAGATAAATTGTTGGAGACCACGTAGTACACCTGCAGAGGAATAGATTATCTTCCTACAATGAAAGAGATGAGAAATGGGATATATTTTATGATCATCCATAGATCTACAATTCCCTGGCCTCTGATTCCAGACATCTCATTCTCAAGTGTATCAGTTCTGAAATAGCTTTTTCTTCCCATTAATTGCAATGTATCAGGAATGTTAATGTCCCCCTGCTTTTATATATAATCCTTTGCCTCCCTTTTTTGACCTGCTGGTTGTAGCAGCAAGTAGCTTTCTTAGTACCACCCATGTAGAAGCACTGCAGTGCTAAGACCACCTTAATAGGCAGTTTTGAAGGTGATGCAAATAAAGAAGTGGAAGTAGACAGGTTTATATGTCATCAACTGTGTCAGAAATGATTCTTCCAGATCAGAAAGCATTGCAATTGCATGTGATTGTGAACCACACAAAATACTGGAGAGAAGAGCCATTGCTCTGAGCAAAATGTTTCCCAAGCTCTTATTTGTTTAGGAGCCCACAGGCTATTGTAGTTGTTTTAACTTTGTTTGTTGTTTGCTTGTTTGTAAAACATTTATATAGCTGTCTATCTTTCAACCAACTCTGTTCAGGTTCTAATATTAGGATGATGGTGGTGACGATTAAATACAGCCAAAAGAGAAAAATGCAGCATGATCTTCCTCATCTGAATCCTTAGGAATTAGTTAGAAAAAAAACCTATCATTACAGAAAATGGCTTGTATAGAAGCACCTGAAATTAATCACCCATTCTTTTTTCAGTGTAATGCTTTTACAGTATCAATTTTATTGCACAGCATCTGATTCATCCCTCCAATATTTGCACCTTATCCACAAGGCATTAGGTGTAAGACATCTATATTAGGTAGTTCAGTATGTTTTAGTGCATATCAACCCACAGCATCAAAGGCATCTTATGCCAAACACATGATACAATTTTTAAAAAGGCAATCATGTGAAAAGTGCCTCAATTTTTTTTAAAGATCTCATTTCCTTAAAGAATGCAATATGAAAAACAAGGAAGTGATATTTCGCAATGCATTTTGAACAATTCACACACACACACACACACACACACACACACACATACAGAGAGAGATGCAGTTGTTGCTTTGACTAAAACATACCCACCCTGCTCTCCACTGCATGGAAAAATGATCCAAGGCAACATGCTTCAAGCTTTGCAAAATGAATACAACATGTACAGCAATGGAAAACAAATCTTGCCTAATAAACTATTTAAGGTGAATTTACCAGTTGCCTTCTGTAGAACAATACAGGGAAAGATGGTTAAGGCTTAATTTAGCCAGGGCTTGTTTCTTCCCTTTGATTTTGCAAATAGATGCTCTCCCATCTTCTGAAAGTATTAATGAAGTTGTAATTTAAGAAAACTTGGATTAAAAAAAAACACCTGCAATGATATACAGGAGGTTCGTAACAAACACCTTTGATTTAAAGAAAAAAATGAATGTGGCAGCAACAAGTAGATCTGATCTCAAGATCTCCGATCTTTGTTTGTTCTAAAATTCAGCATAAGCACTACATTGTATTTTAATAAAACATAAAACCATAGAGAAAGGAACCATTATGTGCATGGTGAAAAACTGGATGAGAAGCAAAATGGCATTATTCTGCCCTTTATGAGATGGGCAGAATAATGCTATGCGTGCTTACTCAAATCCTATTTTATTCCATGGGCTTCACTCTTTAGGGAGTATATTTAGGACTGCAACCTAAAGCTACCGTGTAAGCTTGCATGCTTTGAAATAAATAATGCCAGTGCAATCGGTTTACAAGTATACAGGCCTAGGAGTGTAAGTTTCTATTTCCTAATTTTTCCAGGCCGTCATTCTGGATACCATTATTACCTCCAAAAAGTGCAATTGTAGTGTCTGGAGGAGACAACATATCCAAATGAGATAGACAGATAGACAGATGACAGAGGGAAGGAGGGAGGGAGGTAGAGAATTTCCAGAGTTCTTCATGCAGAGTTCTAGAAAACTCATGTGAAATTTAGCTAGCTTGAACCAGAGAAGAAAAAAAATGGTCCCTGAATGCTTTCATCAACATATACACATTTCTGCTATGTGCTCCTTTTGATCTACAACAACTGCTTTAAATCTCTTTAAGAGCATCCTTGAGAGCAAAAGGGACATCTTTTACAATTTGAAGAGAAAATGGATACACATTTGGATGTCTATAACAGAAGAACATCCATTCTGATCCAGGAAGAGTTTAATACGCACACTGTATCTGTAGCATATATGGATGTATATTTGGCTCAGAAGAACATGGTTAGCTATGACCCGGCTGCTTTTACTGGCTGTCAGGGTTTGTTTAGACTTTTTCCATCACTCCCCTAGGCAAAGTCTGGGGAGAATGCAGCTCCATTGACTGCCTCCTGCGAACTTCCCGCTCCTCCCAGTCTTCTTCTGGCTCGTAGCCTTTGAAGATTGCTAGCCTCTCTGACAGAGTCTTTCTATGAGGGAAGAGAGCATAATTGTAGATCAAGGAAGCCACCACTGCTCCAACCATGGGACCCAGCCAGAAGACCTGTGCGTGGAAATGAGAACATAAGAGAGACTCAGAAGCTGGTAGACTCAATGTTCCTCTTGGGTAACACACAACCAAAAGACAATTGGTAGATTTAAGTTAAACATCACCATTTCATTTCCATTTTTTTCCCTATGGAGAGGAAGAAATTCATTAAAACAGATTTCAAATAATTTATTGGGGAAGGCAGGAGAAGAATTGCAGACTGCTTCCTTCCTCATCACGCCTCCCCATATGTACGAATTCTGGCCTCAAGAATCAATTAATGAATTTAATGATTCTTTTTCACCTACTACCCTTTTTTTTCCTTCTCCTTCGAAAGCCTTCTTCTTCCCTTCTACTTATTTCCATAAATCACTTGTCTTCCTAGGGTTCTCCAGTATTTATAAAGCCATTTTGTAAAGCTCCTGATAACTTTGATCCTTGCAACTGGAATTCCTTCTTCTTTTACTCCCACATTCTTCTGCTTGTCCTTAGATTTGAGTAGGTCAATCAATAACAGCCAGAGATCTTTCTGCTCATAATTCAGCTCTTAATGACAGTGTGGCAGGTAAACTAATGATTACTAGTTAATCCTTAATATATGGTAATTCTGGAATCAGTATACAGTTCATCTCAATGGTTTTCTATCTGTTTTCAATCCAAGAAGCTTCGTACAGTTATCAGAAAATTTCTTGTTGAAGAAATCAGTTATGAAAGTTTCTCTGCAAAATCTAGAATGCCAAAGTGCATCCAATATATTACTGGAAAATCAAACAAGGTATTATTTCCTATTATTCAGATGTCAGTGCTGAATTATTATATACCTCCCAAGCTAAGGCAACAGAACTAAGATGCTAACAGTTCCTCTGATGGGGAGTTAAAGAATTCATGGGCAACTGCCAAAGGATTTTGTTCCTTCCTTCATTCTTTCACTTCATTGAATATAAAGTCTCCAAAAACACAAAACAAGAAGCCAAAGTCAGGTCCAGTAACAAATTGGCCTCAAACTAGTTGAAACAAGAGTCTGAAATGTTCACGTAGAGTTGGAATGGGGTTTTAATCCATTGCCAAACCACTGAAACTTCTTTTCATTAAAAAAAGTGTGTGCCAATTGCAGCTGTTCTTGGAAGGGGAGGTTCTGCACTCAATCATTCATGTCTTGACCCCTTCCTACTTTGACTATTGTTATCTAAATGGGGCTGTCCTTGAATAACACTTGGAAGTTGCAGTTGGTCTACATGCAACAGTACTGCACTGTTTAGGGTGCACCTGGTATTTCCAGGTAGCATTTCTGCATCATAAACAGCACTGATTTCCAATAGTTGTCCTTTCTTGTAAAGTTATGCTCCTAATTAATCACAGGAATATAGAGAGACACCTTGTGTTGCTAGAAAAAATGGACAGGGCCACATGGCCAAAGGAGATGGTTTTCATGTACCTTGCCTTTTGCCTTTTGTATATGGCATGCATCCCTCTCTGTTCAATAATTCCTATGCACAGGCATGAACAAACCAGGACAAACTTCAACTCTAAGAGACCTTGGTAGCCTTCTGATATTGTGGCGTCCCTTCCTTATCTTCCTATCCTGCTCCTCACTTGTATTGGCACATGAATGTGAGTCAGAGAAGAGGGAGACTGTACTCTAAGGAATCACATCCATGTTCCCTGGTGTGAAAAGAAAGCCAGAAAAGACTTTTATTTATTGCATTCTTGGTCACACTTGAGTAGTGCATGGATTGTGTGGAGTCTTCAGCTTCGGTCTCTAAGGCCCGGCTCTTTTTTCATTGTTTCTCTGAGACTCAGCCACCCTAGTAAGGACATTTTGGGATAGGAAATCTTCCTATCCCCTTCCATCTAACTAATTTTAGCAAAAAATGGTTTTTCTCCCTGTCATGAATAGGAACAGAGAAAATGCAATTGCCCATTTAAAAAATACTGAGGGAGGAGAAGATACAAGCTTGGCTTCTTTCACAAGAAGTCAGAGAATATCTGTCTTTGTACGTATGAGAGGCAGAAAGGTAATATGCAAATATGTGATTCTGTCAATGATCACGTTAATGAATATGCTTGCTTATATGGATTATGGTATGTCCCCAATGGTTGAGACCCCTAAGATTCACAAATCCCCAAACATTGCTATCCCTTTTTAGTGGTCTGTTGCAAAAGTAGATTATCTGGAGTAGCCTTTCTCAACCCTCTTACCCTGGAGAAAACTTTGAAATAATGTTTGGGTTTGTTGGAACTCTTGCATAAAAATCACAAAAAATGTGATAACTTCACAATGCATTTCATTTCTGACATACACCATCTATGTTTTCAAAGGTTACCACAACAAAATGGCAGACTAGCATCTGAGTTGCGGTGAGTAGACATTCCCTTCATTGCAAGTGCTAGTGTATAAAGTTAAAAAAAAATGTTTTTTTGTTTTTGTTTTTTAAATTGGGATCTCCAGAAGAACCCAGTGGAGAAAGGTTGGCCAAGTGTCTTACCCAATGGTGGTCAAATTCACCAAGAATCACAGCAGGGGCAAAAGATCTGGCAGGATTCATGGAACAGCCAGTGTAGTAGATCTAGGTAGAAAAGTAGGGTGAAATTAATGATATAAATGATGAAAGGTGGAGGTTGGATGAAGGTTACAGAACATAATCTCATCTGCTGGTCCACTATAAGTTGTGTGCATGTGTGTGTGTTTTGTCTGCCCAATCTAGGGCTGAGAGAGTGATTGGCTCAGTGTCATCCAGCCTGCTTCCATGCTTAAGAGTGGACTACAGTCTGAGCTTTATTTATTTATTTTTCACATTTTTCTACTGCCCATCTCTTTCAGAGTTTTCATGCTTATGGTCCGCACCTTAACTGTGTGTGTGCATGTGCATGCACATGTAGTTTGTAGGAGAAAGAGATTGGATTAGACAATCTTCAATATCCCTTTCAACATATACTTTGATTCTTTATGGGTAAATCTAGGTTCAAATCTCAGTTCAACCTTGAAACTGATGGAAACATCTTGGACTGCTGATTTATTGCACAGTTTTATATATAATAGGATTTCTAATGAGGATAAAAATGAGAGAGAGAAAATCCGTGTATATTGCTCTAAAGCATTAGGTAAATTAATGTATGTGGCCAGATCTTTTGACAGTTTTCTTTTCCCTTATTTTTTTTTCCTGAGAAGAAAATAGCAGTGATATATTCTGATTAAGCAAATGATTTGAAGACCTTAAGTAACAGTTTAATTCAGCATAATGGCTTTAATGAAAACTGGCTAACGGTAAGGAATACCATGTAAATATGTGTCCAAAGCATCACTGAGACTGGGCTATCAGCAGAAAATGAAGAATGAAAATCAAGGTTGAGTAAAACTTTGGAGAGGATAAGAAAATTTTAGATTTCAAGAAGAGCCAAAATAATCAGGAAAAAAACATTCGAATCAGAAGGCGGACAGGATTGAAATAAAAAATTAACATATACCTGAATAATTACTGTACTATTTCTTTCAACAGAAAATCATGTTCCATTACACTTGTCATTCTTGCTATAAATAATAATAGCACTTAGACTTATATACCACTTCGTAGTGCTTTATAGCAGTCTCTAAGCTGTTTCCAGAGTCAGCATATTGCCCCCCAAAATCTGGATCCTCATTTTACTGACCCCAGAAGGATGCAAGGCTAAGATTAAGTTAACGTTGAGCCAGTCCTGGCAGTGGGAATGCAAACTTAGCCTGCAATACTACATTCTAACCACTGCACAACCAGGGCTCATGGTGACAATAAAGCCAGGGTAGCAATAGCCTCGATATCCAATGGGACAGTTTTTGGTAAAATAAGGAGAGGACAATATCCTTCCTTGCAGCCATTTCTATGTCTACAAAATCTGTTGCAGAGGATTGAAATAATCTTCATGGGAATTATTTTGAAAGTACAGGTTGTCCTTGACTTACCCATTCATATAGCGGCTGTTCAAAGTTACAATGGCATTGAAAAAAGTAACTTTATTAATTTTTCACAGGATGATTTCACAGTATCCCCATGGGCACGTGATCAAAATTCAGATGTTTGACAACTGGTTCATATTTATGATGGTTGCAGGGTCCTGGGGTCATGTGATCACCTTTTGCAATCTTTTGACAAGCAAAGCCAATGAGGAAGCCAGATTCATTTAACAACTGTGTTACTAACAACTGCAGTGATTCATTTAACAACGTGGGCAAGAAAGGTTATGAAATGAGGCAAAATTCACTTAACATCTCTCTTGCTATGTTGCTTAGCATTAGATATTTTGGGCTCAATTGTGGTCGTATGTTGAGGACTGCTTGTAATTGGTCAGAATTGGGAAAAGAGGAAGGAAGCCCTTTTGTGCAAGCAAAAAGCCACATTTTATCACTGGGATTGGCTTATAACAATATATTAATGAGGGCAGCCATTATGAGTACCACTAAACACATTGATACACTGAACTATTAAATGCAATCACTTGTAGATTTCAGCAAGTAGCTAAAGATGGTTGAATCCCAACTGATGATAACATCCTCTTAATAATATGGTCTCAGATTGGTTGTATCTAGAAAAGGAGGGAGAGGCAGCCACATAGGAATGCATCTATGTGCAGCTCAAACCCATTGAGTAGATATGTGCTGAATCCATAGAAAATTGCTCTGATTTTTAGCCACAAGAAACTTCACCTGAAAGGGCCATTTCTTCAACTCCAAAATTTGGGTTTCATTGTCAATATTATCATCCATGCCCCCAAACTTTATTAAATTTCATTTTAACACCCTTGCTTAATTTTGCACAGCAAACTGGTTACGCACCCCAATGAGGTGACCCAGGACGACAGAGAAACCAATAGACAAAGCTGGGGATCCTAGGTTGTCGGTCCTATGAGCATCAGTGGAGGCAAAAATGCACAGAACCAATTGAAAAGTGAGGAAAATCTCCATGGCGACAGCTTGTCCTGATGTTGAGTTATTTTGCACCTAGAAGAAAACAGAAGAAAATTAAAATTCCCTTTCTGAAATCCGTTGCTTTTATGCCAGCTGAAAGACTTTTTAAACCCTCTTCAGAGTTTAATATGCTAAACCCAATACTGTGTTCTTTAAAAATTGGACTTGTTTATTCATTTATATGACGTGTTTATTTCTTCAGCATATATAAAAGCCTATCTCACAATGTGATTCTGGATGGCTTACAACATTAAAAGAAAACAGAAGACCTTAAAGCAGGTGAGGAACCAAGCCAAGATAAATCAAATCATAACCACATCATGAGCTCTCACTACCATTCTAACCCACATGCCTAGGACCACCTCCAATCCTTTAGAGCAGGGATAGACAACCTTGGTTCTTTTATGACTTGTGGACTTATTTATTTATTTATGAGACTTATATACTGCTTTAAGTGCAAGCACTCTCTAAGCGGTGTACACCAGTAAGCAATGTATATATATATATTTACATTGCCCCCAACAATCTGGGTCCTCATTTTACCTACCTCGGAAGGATGGAAGACTTCAACTCCCAGAATTCCTGAGTCAGCATGGCTGGTTCCGGAATTATGGGTATTGAAGTCCATGAATCATAAAAGAGCCAAGGTTGCCTACCCCTGCTTTAGAGCCTTCCTAAAAACAGCAATTTAACCTTGGGGAGAATTGTGTTCCAAAAATCAGTCTCTGCAACAGAAAAGGTGTCCCTCCAAGGTCCCACAAGATGATGTCCTTTGGCTGGCATAATCCATAGCATGCTTTCAGTTGCATCTCATGGTTAGATTTTGCTGAAATGTTAAGACTTTAACAAACTACTGCTGGGGCCTTTGTTCACAAATAATCTGAGCATTGTATTTATATATTGTAGATGTGTAAAATGGAATACAAGAAGAGGGGAAAGGCATGCAGTTTCATTTTCTTTCAGCTCTCTAGCCCCATTAGACATGTAAAAATAATCTATACCTTCCATTGATGAATCAGATATATTAAGAAAGGTAAGTGATCAGCCTGAAATGAATGGAATTTGATGTACAGCATATGTATTAAAAATGTATACTTGAAGAACAGAAAATCTGCTCCCCTCCCCTCATAAACAAACAAACTAAATAGATTGTTAGAATCACCGTAACAATATGAAAATTCAATCCAGTGTCATCTTTTTTCTTGTCTGCTGTTGGGGTTGACATTTCCTGCCAACCAGCACTTTGGTGGTTGCGCATTTTCCATGCTTCTGGATGAGTCATATGGATAATGTTTTCTTAGTAAAAATGGAGATGGCAAACCATATATGGCCACTACCTTTGGGCTATGTATCAGTGTCAATACATGTGGATCAGTGGTGGGATTCAAATATACATGTAGATCAGTGGTGGGATTCTCTGTATGGATGACACTTCCGGAAGTCAGTGCTGGGCCTGGGTAACAAAAAATTAGCTACCAATTCTGCCAAAGTGGTGCGAACTGGCTGAATCCCATCACTGATGTGGATATGTTAACATTTTCCTAATGACTTACTGAAATGATCAAGAGTAAATTTTTATTTTTTGGCCTCCTAAAATGTTAATAGGGAATCGATCCCCAAAGAGGATGACACACCCATCAGGAAAATGGGCTGCCATGTATTTACCTGGTTTTGTATTTCCATTACAATAGTACAGTATTTCACTGTCATTGATTCAATACCCTATAACTTTCCTGAGGAAAAATAATTGGATGAACTGAACAGATAAGATCGCTATTATTTGTTGTGGTGGTTTTGCCATTCCAACTGCAGTTTGAATGGATCTATGCCATTGGGGAAGTAGCATTCCAGTAATGGCAGAGATTTTTATCTTTGACATACCTAAACAACTGAATATATATCCATTGGAATCCTGAAACAATCTGATGTTTGACAGAATCGCACTTGGCCTGCATGGAAATGGTGACGCCATAATGTCCCAAAGATGCTGTTCAAAATGCTTCTTGAGGAAAAAAACCCAAGGAAAATCCATTCACAGTTTTTTTTTCCAAGGAAAAAATGCAAGAAAGTCCAGTTGCCTTTTGAACAGCACTTTTGGGACAACCATGACCTGGATGATTGAGACTCTCCATAGACGTGGCTCCATAATGCAAGCCCATGAAATCTATGATCCATCAATCTGAATGCAGTTGACTAATCTACTCTGAGTGGTGGTTATATTTACTTCAAGGTCTTGATTTTTAGTACCCTGCCCAGCACACAGCAAAGAGGCCAGTCTTATTTTATTTTTGGAGGTTCAGAGATTGTGTTTGATCATATTTGACTTGCTGAGTTGTGACCTGCATCTAGGCTTTGTTGTAACTCCCATCTGATTTGATCATTGAAGGAAGTAGCCTCACAGATGCATTGCAGTAAATTAATCTCCTTTATTAGGGAGTTTGTGGAAAAAATATCTCTATTTTTCTCAGGGGCTACTACATTCTTTTAAGATTATCTCATGGGCCGAAGTTATCAGTAAGTTTGTCAAGAGCTAAACATGGGTGGGACACCCTCTTGGATGTCACAATTTTCCTCTTTTTAACATCCTTTTCTCCCTGGAGCAAAGCAGTTTTCTCTCCAGAAGTTCAGGTTATGAGGGAGAGACAAATAACTCTAACTTGAAAGCTCAACTGAACTCTTGCATTCAGAGTTAGGCTGTGGGCCATGAAAAAAATCATGCATGCTCCAATTTTGCCTTTCCAAATGGCTTGTGACATTCTATTAAGAGCTATCTATAGAAAACATTCCTGAAGAGTTTTTAAAATGCATAATCTGCTGCAGAGATATCTGCAGGATGGTGAAAAGCTAAAATGGTGAGTGTGACTGCAATTAAAACCCAACCCTTGCATGCACATTAAAAGAGGTTGGCCTTTGATTGCCTAGTCATGCCTATCATCTTAACTTTTTAAATCCTCCCTGTGGTTGCCCTGATCCAGGGCTCCATAACAAAAACCAGTTGCTCAGTTACAATTGCCTTGCCTAAGAGATGTATGCATAATTCATGCTTTCAAGGAACATTTCTCTTCCTCCTTCAGATGCAGTTCCTGTGGTTGAGTCAGAATCTCATTGGGCAAGTAAACAGAGCCCATGGGGAAGAAAGGGCAACCCAGAACATCACATCAGCATCTTTTTTCTCAACATGGTGATCTAGCTTGATAGGCATTTCCCACTGGAAGACTTTTCAAAGCTGCATGCTTTTTTTAAAAAAAACTTGTTTGACTGAGGAGCACATGAATCTTGAAAGGGTGCTATGACATCTTTCATCAAAAAACTGACATGCTGGGTGTGATTTATTTCAGTGTAGTATATTTACTTATGAAGAGGCAAATGGAGGAGGGCATCCCACATATCTACTTATCAGCTTTATTTATAATATCATTTGCCTTTTGCATATAACTGCCTACCAGTTATATCAGGGGTCTTCAAATTTGGCCCTTTTATGACTTGTGGACTTCAACTCCCAGAATTCCTCAGCCAGGCACGCTGGTTGGTCCACAAGTCATAAAAGGGCCAGGTTTGAAGACCCCTGAGTTATATTCTCTACAAATATCTGCAAAGTCTATGTAAGGAGCAGCACTGTGAGGTATTTTGGAAATAAAATTGATTCTGGAGGTTATCATTTTGCACTATACCATGCAATCCCCTCCCCCTTTTTTCAGGAAAAAACAACAACAACCGGGCACTAGGAAATGCTGGTCTCCATAGGCTCCATGTTAAGGATCCCAGGGTAAAATAATTCCATGAGAGTGTTAAGATGAAGAAGATCTGGTAGTTCCATGTCTGTTTTATCATAATTAGTCTTTCTCTTGGTCTGATGGAAGCTATGCTAAAGAACGTTCTGTCTAGTAGACATTCACTGACATGCAAAAGCTTTCAACTTTTCTCTGTCTGGCTTGTAGAATGTTCTTTTTATGGCCCCTTTTCAGCCTCTTTGTATAAGATCATTTTCCCTTTTTTTCTCTGGAGGTTTTAATAAGTGTGTGTGTGTGTGTGTGTGTGTGTGTGTGTAATTCTGGAAGTCTACAAGTCTTAAAATTCCCAACGTTGGATATACCTGATATATATTGTTTCTCTATTTTTTTATACCCATTAAGTGTTCTCCTCCATGTACTTATTCATTGCATGCACAGTGCCATTTTTCTTCCCAGAGCTAAAAGGGGCATATATTACTCTCATCTCCCACCCTGTCTTGTCTATCTACCCACACCTTTGCAAGGAAGGTACATTGGTGGCTGGCTTATGAGATCATTTCATGGCTGTGTGGGGCCTTGAATTAGTTCTAGTTGTATTACTAGTCTAGAACCAAGTATTAATGTACTTCTCTAACCACTGGTGTTCTTCCTTGTTCTTTTTTCCAAAGGTCCACAAAGGTATCATGATCTTAAAGAAAACTAACATCAAAACATGGTTCCACTAGAAAAATAGGGCCAAAAATGTGGTATTGACACAACAGAGGGAATGAACCATAGTTTCCCACCACAGTAGCATCATGATCTTTTCCTTTTGTTAATGCCAGTAAATTAAAATACATTTCCAAAGAGTCAACAAAGAGTCACAACAGAATCAACTAACTTTACCTAGTCACCAAAGAGGCACTCAAGAAGTTATATATTTCTGTTGCTTGATTGAGACTATACCAAATGAAGAATATCCTCAAAAATCAGGTCAAATAACCTAGTTGTTGAGCTGCAATATTAAGGGTTCCTGATAGCTAAGTCTGAATTATTCCCATATCTCTTTGCAAATCAGGCCTAGGTCTAGCGTACATTTGACCAGCCAGATTATAAAAAAAAGGTCAGTATCCAAATAGGTCTTTTTATTGTGTTCAGTCATTTAAGTGCGTTTATTTGCATTTAAGTGCAGATAAAAATCTGATTATTGTTACATTATTGCTACTGGCATTACAAATCAGTCTCTTGCCCTGTGGCAGAGATCTTTTCTGCTATATCTTACATAAGATTTTGGCAAATAAAAGTTCAGCTGATAATGCTAAAAATGGCATCTCATCTCTGAAAAATGGCCATCAGGTTACCTAACTGAATATGCACTTGTAATTACAAGATTACACTTGTAAAACCTAATTGTATACAATTAGAAATATGCAAACATTCCTGTTCTTCTCCAGCTTGCCTCTTGTAAAATCACCAACAATTATGGATTAAGTTAATTCCCAATAGGCAACTACTTTAATGGTTCTTGGAGGATGCCTTAATAGTCAACACATGTCTCCAGAGGCTTGTAAATTATTCCTGAGCTATATGACCTATGAAGTCTTCTTGCAAACAGCTCCAATAAATTATCTTAGTAATTGTATTAGAGTAAATTGCCTTATTGGCCTTTCCCAAACAAGTACAGTCTATATAAATTGGAATGTTCCCAGAATTCCTAGTCAACAAAGTTAAAAAGTCCAGCTAGCAGTACAAATGATTTTCATGTTGATTAATACAACCTTTTTCAACCACTTCCTCAAACACTAGTAATACATTAGATATTGTTGGATATCTCCACTTCTTAAAAACACAAGGAAGTTTAATTAACTAGATTAGTTTATGCAGTGCTTTTTTTCTTAAAAAAAAAAAAAAAAAAGGTGCCAGAACTCAAACACATCATACAACCCGCCTTGCCTACCCTACAAGGTTCCATCCAAAAAAGGTGCCGGAACTCCGTTCTGGGCGTTCTATGAGAAAAAAAGCCCTGAGTTTATGGATAGGCAATTGGAAAGGAAACAACCTTTGTTTATAAACAAAAACATCCATAATACAATATGATGATAATAAATAGAACCATTAACATATTTTCAATTGCCTTCAAGGCAGTGGTGGGATTCAGCTGGTTCACACCACTTCGGCAGAACCAATAGCTAATTTTTAGTTGCCCAGGCCCAGAATGGACTTCTGGAAGCGGCATCCACACAGAGAATTGGTTGTTCACGTATCTGAATCCCACCACTGCTTCAAGGTGGATCACATAATTATTTAAAATTATCTTTAAAGTGAAACTGATTTAATTAATTAAAAAGGGTCTCCAGAATAATGGCAGCTTAACCTGCTTCTAACCAACAGGATCAGGGCAAACCTGGTTCCTTACAGTTAGTTACTATACAATATGGAGACACTTAAAGAAAAGCTCCCAGCTTCAATAACCCTGACTTCCTTGTAGTAGGGAACTACTGTACCAGCATTTTTCCCAAGTTGCTATAATATTGGATGGGACAAATCTGATTGATGGAAGTGGTCTTCAGCACCAAGCCATATAGGGCTTCCTAAATAATCCCTTTAAATTGCACTCAGGGAAGTACCTGTAGCCAATGCAGGGCTTGTAGTCCAGGTATTTTATGTTATCCTGTGCCCATTAGCACAAGGGATACTGCAATTATAGTTTCTGGATGGTCTTCACAGAGTGCATTGCAATGTATCAACTAGGTGGTGATGACAGCATGAATTGCAGATGTTAATTCCTCCTGCTCCAGACTGTAACTCAGGAGTCTTCAAACCTGGCCCTTTTATGACTTGTGGACTTCAACTCCCAAAATTCCTCAGCCAGCATGCCTGGCTGAGGAATTCTTGGAGTTGGTCCATAAGTCCTAAAAGGGCCAAGTTTGAAGACCCCTGCTGTAACTGATACACTAGCTAGAGTTGGGCAAACAGCCTCCTGATCACAATATGTATCTGCCCACTCAGCGGTAGCCATGAATTCAGGAGGAACCCCCCCCCCAAATCACAGACCTCAGAGGCAATGCCATCCCTTCAAGAGATATCCCTGGAGTCCACAAAGACCTTCAATGCATAACCAGCAATTCTGCCTTGCATGGATTTAACTCCACCAGCTTCTTCCTATCCAGGTCTAACAGCCTCTAAATACTTGGACAAAACCTTGATTACCCGTTATGAGTGTGGGCCAGAGTAGCAATGTATAATTGGGTGTCATGAACATATTGATGATACCGATCCAAAGTGACAGATGATCTCTCCTGTTAGCTTTATGCATCTATTGAAAAGTTAACAGAAAAGGGTCAAAGTCTGTTGTATGCCACACATCAAAGGCCACTGAGGTGAATTTTCTTCCCCTAAAGCACAATGTCCCAGTCCCCAGCCCTTGCAAGTAGTCAAAAGATATTCCATGTTTGATGGTATTGAAAGCCAAGAGAAGATCTAAAAGAACCAGAAGACACACACACACACACACACACACACACACCTGCTAAGTCCTAATAAGGTAATCCACTAATGCAGGGGTCTTCAAACTGGGCCCTTTTATGACTCATGGACTTCAACTCCCGGAATTCAGGCATGCTGGCTGAGGAATTCTGGGAGTTGAAGTCCATGAGTCATAAAAGGGCCGAGTTTGAAGACCCCTGCACTAACGCAACTAATGTGGTTTTTGTGCCAAATCCATGCTTGAACCATGCTCAGATAGTCCATTTATTTTAGGGTTCTATGCAGTTATTTTCCCACTATTGCCTCAAAAATTTCCTTAAAAAGGAAAGGCTGGAAACAGACCAATAGTTGTCTAATACATCTGGACCCGGGGAGGGCCTCCAAAGGTGCAAGTGCACCACAGCTTATTTCAAGACAGCAGGAACAGACAACCCTCTGCAAGGAGACATTGGCTATCTGCTGAATCCAGTGAGCACACACATAGACCCAGCCCACAAAGGACAGGAGACCTAGCCACTTCATGGGAGTCCACAGGCCAGAAGGAAGACTTCACAAGACATTGTCCTAATATTATGGTATGATCCCACCCCTCATGAAGACCGTAGACTCTAGTGACAACATGCTGTGAGTCAGGAGCACAAAATTCTAATAAAGGCAGCTGGATGACAGCTGGCCAGCACAATAAGAAATCAGAAGCAATAGTCTTATAATATTACCATTATAATTACATTATCTATTATATTATGATCCTAGTTTTCTATTAATGATCAGCAATTTCAGAAATAGTTTGTCAAGGTTCCGACTAATGGAACACTTCAAAGAACTTCCAGGCATTGTTTATTCTAAAAAGTCTTTAATCATATGAACACAGTGTCGGCACAGCATGGATGGATGCCAAGATCTGAATTTCCCTTTCTTTGCACATAACGTTCCAGGCTATTCCCCTCCCCTATTCTGCAGTCATAATTCACATTTTCCAATCAGCCTGAAGGGCAAAGATTCACTTCCATTCCCTATCCAACAGTCCTTATCTTTCTCCTCCCCTCCCACCATCATCTGAATTAACTCTAAAAATACCAGACAGTTCTGCATATCTTGTAAAAGCAATAATATCCAATATTAGCAGCGTTGACATAGGTAACATGACACCACCTGTCACGCTCTTGACCTTCTGGTTTAATGTTTAAACTATTTCAATTTATAAAAATATATAAATGAAAAGTCAGCACATTGCAAAGTGCCCTTATTTCCAAGAAATATCCCAGGCTCTCTGGAGGCATTAGAAGAAAATAAAAAAGATATGACTGCAACTCTTTTTTTTTTTCTCCTCATCCACCGTATGCAAAGACCTTTCAGTGTTGGTAAATTGGGAGAGCACATCCAAATGGGGAGGAGATAGGGGATTATGGGCTCATAGGGAGTGTCTTTAAATAATGATTATATCAACCACATAGATCTTCTACTATTTGCCACACCATGTCAAAGGATGTCAGGCCTTAGAGCTTATGAAATGGGCAAATGGGTATTTACAATGAGAAGGGAGGACCTGCAATCTTTAAGCTGGTCAGGTGCCATTCTTTGCAATAATACGTGGCATCAGGAAGTACTTGCTTTTTCTGAAGAAAGAAATAAATAAATTGGCAATTGGGTAGCAATTTGTCATGCCAACATCAAGGCACAGCAACCTGGGCTTAACTCTGCTTTCACAGAGGAACTGGAATATGACAAGGAAACAAACTGCTAATCCCTTATTGATAAATATATAGGACTTGCCCTTATTTATTCATTTATACATTTTATATTGCTGCCTACTTGTGCATGGTGACTCAAGGGTGGCTTACAGGACGTAAAATCACAATATAAAAGAAATAAAAATAATAAAATAATAACCTTCCATCCACCTACACCCACCCCGGCGACAACACACATTTGTTTCCAGCCATTTAATGAGCTCCATCCCACTCTGGGTTCTCCAGGCCCACTGGCAGAACCATGTCTTCAGGGCCATCCAAAATAGTGTTAGATTGGGGACCAGTCTAATTTCCGGAGGGATGCTGTTCCAGAGTGAGGGAGCCACCACGGAGAAGGCCCTTCTTCTGGGTCCCACCAGATATATAGTTATAATAACTACCTTGCTCTAAAATGGGTTGAAAAGACCTGTAGTAAAGCTTACATTTTTTTGTGATGGAATCTATATATCTTTAACATCTAGATACTGATCAGGAAGATCTATTGGTAGATTTCTGGATGATTATCAATAAATCAGCAAGGATGCTGAACTCAGGGTGACTTAGTAATTAGAAAAATGAAAGACGTCCTTCATCTCCTAGGTTAGGCTGCTAAAAGTCTGATTGATTATGTGCCATCAAGTCAGGTGTTGACTCTTAGCAATCACATAGATTTTCTCTGTGATGCTATGATCCTAACATAGTATTTCAGATCTTCCAGTGGTGCACTCATATTCCGCATCAGATTCCAGAGAGTGGAAAGTAGAGTTCTCATGAAAAAACAAAGTCTTACAAGCTTGAAATCTCCACCAACAGTTTAATGGAATTCCACATAATAGGAAAGCTCATGTTTCATTACTAGCATCTTTAGTTAAAACTGTGTCAGTTAGCTGAGCTCAGTATGGGGAGATCCAACAGGCTAGGTGGGCTGGTCCAATAGCTGAGTATTCATATCCCATTAGATCAAAAATTACTCTTTACCAACCACCTTGGTTTGGGATTACATACTGTGGTAAATTATAAGCAAACTCCCTGACAGTCCTGCATAACATTAGACTTTGATCAATCAAGTTAAAATCCAAATCCCATCCACTTCTTCTTTGGGCCAATCATTGTGCTTCAGTTTTGCATGCATAGAGTACAAAGAATAGTAACTGACTGCATAGTCTTATCCTTGATTAATAATAATTGCAAGAATTCAGAACCACAAAGCTAAGAATCCTTGAAATTATATTTCTTGGAAAGCAGAGTGTTCCAAGTCTAAATCTTTGATCCTAAAGGGATGTCCTTTATTGGCTATTCTTTCCAGTCTCAAATTGTTGTACAGTTGAATGCAATCTATTTGCAGAACAGGTAGTTGTTGATACAATTAATTTCTAATGTGTCCTCAGCATTAGGTTCTAAGCCCCTTCCTCTACTGTAAGGCATGAGGGCCCCCCACACAAAACAGATAATAATTCTTGTATGAACATGTGGCCCAAGAGTCCACTCACGCACAGATTCTAAATTTATGGACTGAGATTCTTATATTTTAATTCAGAGCCTCAAACTGACATTGTATTCTCAGGTTAGAAGATTTTAATAATAGGAAACCAATGTGCAAAGCAGTTAGAATAGGGGAAGGTCTCCTGGTGTCTTCTGGAGATATAGGATTATAATGTATAGGTCCTAGCCTGCACTGTCACTTGGAATGATCATAGGAGCTGTAATCCATAACATAATAGAGGGGATCATTGGCTTGCCCCAAGTTAGTTTCAATTTGTAATGGGAAGACCCACACTCACCCACATCCAGTTATGAAGATCATGAGAGGCCAGTGAAATTACTTCTAATATATGAAGATAAAATAGATAGGGAGCTGTAAAAATCTGGGTGATCGCAAAAGCTCCAACACTTTCCAACCATTTAGGGATAGCCCAGATTTTTGCAGTCCTGGTAGAACTGTGCCTGAAGTTTGGGAGAAAATAAAAATCAGCAGTAAGAGAAAGGAAGATTCTCGAGCTTTTTTGAAATAGCATTGATTTCCTTTACCCAGGCTTCTTAAAGGAAGGACTGTAATTCAGTAGGAGCATATCTGCTTTGCATGTGGAAACTGTTAAATTGGGGAAAATTCAAGAAACCCACCATCATTCAACATAAAACATTACTGAGTTAGCATGGCGAGTATCAAAACACTTCCTATGGTGCATTGTGATGACCCAGAAAGCTGGAATCCTTCAGCCTTTCCACTCTTAAAGACAGTAAAATCCTTACCCTGTTGATGGCCAAGCTGCCACGGATATGAGCCGGAGTGATCTGATGCAGAACGGCAGCCCCCGTCACAGCTCCTAGGATCTGTGCCACCATGTAGAAGATGGCCCTGAGAAAGGAGATTTGGGAACCTACCAGGCAGGCCACTGTCACTGCAGGGTTAATATGGGCTCCACTCACATGACCCACTGCTTGAACCAAGGTACCAATGGCCAAGCCAAATGCGAAAGAAATCTGGAGGACATTTGGTGGGGAAGCAGGCCAGTTCAGAGCTGAGCCCAGGCCGAAGAAGACGAAGAGGAGAGTGGCTAGGAATTCAGCAAGGATAGCTCGAGTGAAGGCCACAGAGCGGAGTTCCCACATCATGGATGACAATTGTAGAGATCAGACTGGGTCGAAACCTGTAGTTACACTTCTCCTTTTCAGTAATAATGTTGTGTCCTGGAAGGATGGTGGGATAAAATCCGTATGTATGTGTCTACACAGGCATAGAGAAAGAGAGAAGGGTATATATATGTGTGTATATATATACATATATATGTCTCTCTCTGTGTGTGTATCTTTACCTGCAGAGCAGGTAAAAGTTATTTAAATGGAGGTGGAGTTTGGAAATCTAATGTTTTTTCATTCCTGTTCCAGTTGAGGAGGTTTTAGACTCTGCCTTCTCCGATAAACTGAAAAATTAGCATTTGCTAGTCGTTCCTTACCTACTTGACCATAACTTTTTATTTCATACTTTCAAACATATTTGGTAGGGTTTTTTTCCCTTTATCATCGTCTTTTTGACCTCTGCTTTCCTTTTTTTTTTAAGCTCATAGTTTTTATGTGAATTTATTTCAAGTAATCTATTGGGGTATTTTGTTTGGTTTTTTTGGCTTGGCTTTGAAATTTCTAAACAATATCCAACAGTTGTTCTTCTTTTGCATCCTGTACTTTCAACTATTTAGACCTCCAGTATCCCCCATCCCTGGCCATGCTGTAAGCAGTGGTGAACTCTGGGAAATAATAATCTCTCTCCAGTCTGATGTAGCTGGAAGTCTAGGTAGTGTTTGACTTACAACAGTTCATTTAGTGACCATTTGACATTACAACGGCACTGAAAAAAAGTGATTGAAGACCATTTTTTATGACGTCACAGCATCTCCCTGGTCACGTGACTTACAGTCAGATGCTTGGCAACTGGTTCTTATTTATGAGGGTTGCAGTGTTCCAGGGTCAGGTGATCAGCTTTTGCGATGTTCTGACAAGCGAAGTTAATGGGGAAGCCAATTCACTTAACAGCCGGGTTACTAATTTAACAATTGCAATGATTCACTTAACAAATGTGGCAAGAAAAGTCATAAAATGGGGCAAAACTCATTTAACAAAGTTCTCACTTAGCAACATAAATTCTGGATTCAGAATGGTCATAAATCAAGGACAACCTGCATTCTCCCTGCATTACAGATGCAGGGAGAAGAAGGATTAGGATGTCTCCTTCAAGGTCAGTGTCCACTTTTGGAATTTTGTAATAGAACCTGTTCTTTCTGGAGCCCATCACAGGATCTTGATAAACTTCTGTATCTGAATATTCTTTGGATGGGAGAAACATGATTGCCTATGGCCTAGGGCAGGGGTAGGCAACCTTGGCTTTTATGACTTGTGGACTTCAACTCCCAGAATTCCTCAGCCAGCTTGCTAAGGAATTCTAATGGCTGATGGCTCCTGTGTCTATATCAGGTGTGTCCAACCTTGGCAACTTTAAGACTTATGGCCTTCAACTCCCAGAATTCCCCAGCCAGCCAAATTTGGCTACTTAGCAACTGGTATGTATATATGATGGTTGTAGTCCCGGGATCAGGGACTACCTTTTGCAACCTACTGACAATCCTACAGCTGATGGCCCCTATGTCTATATCAAGGGTGTCCAAAGCTTGTCTTTTCCTCAATGTCCTCTTGGTGGAATATTATTCCCCCAAATGTTGGATGCCCTATCACTTCTGACCTTCAGAAAATCTGGAAAGATTTGTTTTCTCTATCAAGCCAAGATTGCAGAAATATTGGGATTCTACTCTCTAAGATGAATGATTCTTTAGTTGTGATGTTTAGGTTTTTATATATTACGTTTATTTGTATGTATATAATTGAACCATGATTTATAGTTTTTAATATTAATGTTAATGTTGATTGTTACTTATGTTATGATAAATATAATTATGAGTAACATAACCAAAATGTTTTATTTGTTAGATTTTTATCCTGCTTTTTTTACCTGTAAAAGTAACTCAAGGTAGTGAATATACAAAATAGTCCTTTCTCCTCCTATTTTAACCACAACATCCCTGACTGGGCTGAGAAAGATTGACTGGCCCAAAGTCACCCAGCTGTTTTTTTTTTTTTATGCCTGAAGTGAGACTAGTACTTACCTTGTCAATTTTTAATCCAAGTTATGGATTTGATGAATTGTATGCTACTTCAATTGGGTTGATTAGAACAGTTTAAAAGCCCTGTAAATAAATTATTATGTCTGCATAGATTTTCTGCATAGCTTTCAGTTTTGGACTATTTCTCCCCAGGATCTCATTTGATAAATTCCAAATTCTTTTCTGATGTCCAATTATTTCCATAGTATTAAGAGTCTCACCAACAAACTTGGCTTGTCTTCCAATGGACCTTTATCCACTATAACTTTCAGTCTATCCTCTCATACTGTAGAGCAGGGGTGTCAAACTTGCAATGTCACATGATGTGTTGCGACATATCACAACTTTTTTTCCATTGCTGGCAATGGGGTGGGCATGGTTTTGGCATGACGCATCTTGCCCACAGGGCAGCAGTTTGACACCCCTGCTGTAGACCAACCCCCCACCATTTTTTCCCTTATTCATCACAACAAAATGGTTCTTCTCATCAGAGTCACAACAATTTCTTGGTGATTTCTAAAAAACTATTTAGTATTCTAGTTCATATTCAAATAAAGGGCCATGGCAGAATAAATTCTTATAAATGCCCACCCCTAAATAGGTGCATCCTATTATGCTGTTGACTATGTGGCTAGCAAATTTGCTTTTAATTCTTTCTCTTCGGAAGGGAGCAGTTTATTTACTGGAGAATGTATACTTCATTTGCATCTGCCTTTTCTCCACAGAATTTTTGGCAGAAATTATGAGATCATCTTGTTTTGACAGAGAAGAGAATGAGGATGCATTCTCATGTATGAGTAGAGGTAGTCTTTTGCAATTACTGCTGTTACTTGACTTAATCACTAGAGGATGCTGGACTTAACTACATTTGGGTGAAGTCAGATAATAAAAGTCCTTGCCTAGATTCTCAACTTGGAGGTCCTCAAAGCTGACCATAATATGGGATCAGAAGTCCTATTTTTAATTACAAATCTTTACCTGGATAAATAAGCAAATTTCTTTCCATTGGAGAGCTTCAGTTTTAATAAGCTAGCAACATGCTTTCATTGAGAAGGTGAGGAAGGATTTGCTGCTGTTGCCTGGACATCAAGATGTGGTTGCTTAATCTTGGGAAAACGTGCTGCTGTTTGGTTGCAGCCACTGCTGCCCCAAAAACTTTTGAAAGATTAAATCTGAAGCATGCTAGTTGACAATACTGGGTTAGATAGTTTGACCCTACATAAAACTGCTTCCTGCAATCTTAAACAGTAAATAAAAAGTCATAATCATGTGAGGACACTCACAATCACCCTGTTATAATCACCCTGTAAAACAAACATTCTGTGGTTAATTAGTTTAATCAGGGTTACCATCCAGGCTTAGAGATGAATGATCAGCAAGTTGATCCTTCACTAGTCTTGAATGATTTAATTGTCTCTTTAAACAGAAGAAAGGAAATGTATGGGAAACCTCCAACTCTGATTTTTGCCAACTAAATCTGGTGAGGCTGAACCATTCCTTGGAAATAATATTGGCTGGAAAAAAGCTAATAAAGTGAGATTGAATTCTAAAAAGATAAAGGTTGTGTGTTCATGTTAGGAGTAGAAAAAGTGATCAGCTTGGCAGCTGAGCAAAAGAGAAGGTTTTCTTGCACTCTGCTTATGAAATCTCTCATCAAAGAGCTTCTCCCTTGCTCCCATGGCTATTGGTTATCCTCCTTTAACAATGTTAATTGTGATCCGCAACTCCATTACTTTATAACACGATCAAGATGTGCAACTTGACATGAGCACCACCAATTTAAGATAGCAGCTATGGTAACCCCAGTTGACATCATTAAGTGAATTTCCTCATGGTTGCAGCATCCTGGAATGTCATCTGTGATCTCCAGCTTCCATATTGACTATGCTTGTTGGAAGTTGACAGTTAAGGTTGCAAATGGTGATCATGTGACTGCACATTGTTGCATTCCTCATAAGCACGAGCTGGTTGCCAAGCATCCAAATTGCGATGAGGTGTCCAGGGGATGCAGTGACAGCTGCAACTACAAGGACCCATCATAAGTCTCCTTCATTCAGCACCGTTGTAACTTTGAATGGTCACTGAACCAGTGGTTGTTCAAGGAGGACACTTGTATGTGTTGTTTTGTCTCCTATATTGTTGTTGAATTTCAGTATTGGAGTTCTCTGTTTCTTTCTATTTTTGTCTTGTTTTTGCCATTATTTTAACTAATATCCCCAATGACCATTCAACACTGAGCAAATGAGTAGAAGGATGGATGGATGGAAGGATTGATCAATCAATCGCTAGACAGATACAGTAGATAGATAGATAGATAGATAGATAGATAGATAGATAGATAGATAGATAGATAGATAGATAGATAGATAGATAGATAGTATTAACACGCAAAGTGTCTTGATTAGAATTAGATTGCCTCAGTCTTTACATAACCACTTGGTCTGAGTGAATATTCACTTTTTGCCTTTTGTTATCATTCCATGGACTCCAAAAATGAGATGTGAAAGAAATCTGAACCCATACTGTTTTGCACACAAGAACAGATCATTCACATCCCTAGAATTTAAACAGTAATTTAGATGGGAATAATTTCTAATCAGAATTTAAAAACAGAAGAAGATGCTGGTAGAAATAAATCTTCCTTCTCCTTCCAAGTAGTTACATTTAACTACTTAGTTCACAGGAAGTAAATCATTACATTATTGTGATTCCATATTGTGACATCCTGCAGCCAATGAAGGAAATATATGAGAAATATAATTATGAGTATTCTGAGTATAAAGACAGAATCAGTGACTTGTATTGTGGGTGTGTATGTATTTGTGTATGTGTATGTGTGTATATAAATTTTACTGACAGTTCTGACAATAGTAAGAACTAATACAAATGGAAATAGAATCAGAAGGAAGAGAAAGGAAGAAATCAAAGAAAAGCCAAAATTATATATATATATATATCAGAAGTTCTGATCTT